TAAACAAAACTTTTTTTCATTTCGGGTAGTAGCTGCGTGGAATGACCTTCCTCCGACGGTTGTACACGCTCCTTCTCGAACCCAATTAAAGCACTATTAGACATTTATAAATTACGCTCGGCTTACTAGCTTCTTCGGATTCCACGGCTTTCCGTTTTTCTTGGAGGGCGCCTGCTGCATTTGTAGTACACCCATTCGTAACGCAAAATAGTGTTGGTGCTTCGATTACTGGATGAACGCACAAATATCACAAAGTTATCTTTCATGTATTCATTAAAGGTCTTCTCAAATGCCGTGAAGGATGAAAACGATACACCCACAAATTTCTCAACGAAAGCCATTTCCGGAGCCATAGCATACAAATTTTAAAGCCAAATGTGCGCCAATAATTTTCAAATGTCATCGATGGAAACAAATCGCAAAGAAATGAAGGCAGATGAGGGGGTTTTGAGACCACGCATGTATGCAAAGAAGTGCAACATTTTGACGTTAAAGTTTTTATTTCGCCCGCAGGGGTTTTGCAGAAAAATACATTGTGCGTCCAGCCGCTGGCAGAAATAACCGAACGTCACGTGGACTCCGGGGGCTTATGGTGGAGCGGCTACGGACAAGAAGGTAGGTTACGATTTTCTAGTTCAAGGGCCAATCAGAATCACGGATTAGCCAGGCGCTACTCCCCTTTCACTTGTTCTCCTGTGTGACCTCGCGGATTCATGTAACAGTCGTGTGTGCATTTGTTGTCCCTCCTGCGCCATAGATACCATCCCTTTGGATATAAAAACGGGCCTATGACTGGTTTGGGAGTTGCTGAACCACTGCCCAGTGTACACGTTAGATCTAGCCCACGTCAGACGTACATTTGGCACCGTCTCAAAAAATGTCTGTCTATTGGAGCATGTGACACGCTGTCAGTGGTGATCCAGAACTGGCAAACATCTGGCAAATGTCGGGTGATATAAACTCAGGGTGGAATCTCGCTGTATCTGAGATTTCCATCGAAAGTTTGATGCGTTCAGCAGCGTCCACAGCTGTGGACGCTGAGGCTAGCCTCAGTGGTTATAACCACTGTATCTGGTTCGTGCCCTGAAGTCTCACTAAACAATATAGGTGTTAAAAATGACCATACACAGATTCATTTCGGAAAGAAATTAAAATGTGGGAATTGGTCGCCTTGTCAAAGTTTTCCCCGATTGGGGGATTAAGTTGTAGCTGAATCCCTATACCAGAGGCCTCGACCGTGACCAACATCTTCATTCCCATGAACATTGACAAGTTCCCGATACATTATAGAAAGGTGCATACGTGTTGCGGCCATTCCCTGGTTCTCATGTTGCCATAGTATGTGACGCATAGTCTGGAGACAGAGTTACGTATGAGGAAAATCTTACTGTTTCTAGGTTCTTCACACTGCCTCTTAAATGGCACAGGTTTTCTCTCACTTAGTGGATAAAATCCACGAGTTGGCGAATCCTGGTGAAATTTTCATTCAAAATCAGCAGCACAGCATCAGCGTTCAACACACTGCTGCCATACTGCCGTAATTTATTTGAAAGCCTTATTGTATGTTCTAAGGGACCTAGTGTTGACCTACCACAACCAACCTGATATGCCTACACATCCAAGTACTCATTCAGAAAGCAATAAAAATAATGCCATTCTTTGAGTAGTTCCATAGTTTCAACGGGACCATAGCACCGACCATTGATGTTTTCTTGTCAGTACACATAGTGCTTGGAGTATGGGTAAATAATGAGCTTTAGACTCTGTGGGATGGTCTAAAAGACTGCTGAGAGACCAAGGTGGGCGAGACCGGGGCGTACGAATCATGTTCAACGTCATACTATCAGATTTGTCGGCCGTATCGCGACTGCTTTGGTCGATGGTTTGATATTGGGAGCCTCTTAGGCACTTGGTAGAATACCGGTGGAATAGATCAGTAGCCACAAATTACAGCATCTCCAACCAAGCACAAAAGACCACGCGAACCTCATTCTAAAAGGCGAGATGTACCAACTTAATACTTATCGCGCTCGCTTTCGTGCCCCTCCAGAAGATCGAAGGTTGACCACTTATGTTCCTGCGTTGCTCTGAATCGGCCACGGAAAACAAGAATCTTTCCCGTAAACCACTAGAAGGCGTGCACAGTGCATGACGAAGCCACTGCAGATTTCGGTACCAGACATCCTTCGCCTGAAGATCGTGATGTACAATCTAACATTCGTTTCCTAATTGCTACACTGCAGATTCGTTGTTGGTTTATTAAGGATCCACACCGGACGAGAGCGTATTATGAGTTGACGTGGGCCAGAAAAATAACGGAAAAGAATACCGCCTTCCATCAGCGCCCAATGGTTGTTCAAAATGCTCGGCCCAACGTCTGAGGCGTCCTTCATTACAAACGGTCGCACGTGCCAAGCCCACTCTATTCGGCCATCACGTTGATTATCAAGTGCGCCAAGTCTGTCCACATGTGCATTTGAACCCCCAGTGATTGCGACGATGTTCGAGCCCTCTGTAACAGGGCATTGAGGGCATCATAAACACTGTATTTGCTGGCACCAAATCTACGGTTGGTTGGGACGGAAGAAAACTCAGTAAGCAAACAACCGACATCACGGATTAGCCTGGCAAACTGCACAGAGAAGACTATCAATGGGTATCCAGTCGACCGAAAACCTTTACAGCCCGTTTGTCACGAAGAGAACGGACCGTGGTATAATAGTTTGTTTGCTTCCGTGACCCATCAATCTATGTTGGGGGTATCCATCATGTCTCGCATACCAGGCCGGTTAGTGTGTAAAGGTTTGACCAACCACTTCTGGTCCTACGGGTGTAGGGTTGGAAGATGTGTGGCGATATGTTCTTTGAAAATGACAAACACCACTGCCTTGTCGTCAGGCTCTTGATGCAACAACTGCTGAGCTGTTTCGAACCCACGTGTATATATTTTAGTAGCTTTAGAAGTTGAAAGTTCTTCGCTAGAACTGCCTTCCTCCATGTCTGTGTCAGCTGCGTTACAGCTGAGCAATTATTATCACTGCTATTATGGTGACCAGTGGGGAAAAGTTTATCTTTCATATCTCCGCCTGTGAATGTAAATTCCCGCACCTGCTGTTGCATCATTGTGAGGTCTTCTAGATTTTACAGCTTGGGAGTCGGGCGTTGGATCCGGACAATCGCGGTCTACCGGAAACTCGGGGACTGCGCCTACCTGATGAGCCCCAAGAAGGGCGAGACCTGTCGTGGGCTGTCGGAGAGTTTTCAGCAACATTGTGATTAGTTTCCTTTATGAAAATGTGCTGCGATATCTCGAATGTCGTGCCAACTGAATCATAAGGCGGCCTGTGTGCAGCACGTTTGGTTGTAGAATATCATAAGCGAGAGATTCAGTCGAGTCTCTCTTGGAAACCAAATTGATTTGCAAATGAGTGTATTTTTGAATAACCAGTGAACTTTGTCGGACAGAGAACACAAATATGTTGAGGAATTGTGAGACCATTCTGGATACTTCTGGAGCAACTTCATTCCGACGGAACTCCAGTTTTGGTTATGCTCTTGAAGTAAAAGAACTTACATAGAATGCACCCCGGCTCACATGTTCGCTTCCGGATCTCGACCTCCCGGTAGTCCTTATACACAATAGCTCCAGCCTTCTAAGTACTTGCTCATTTTCTGTCAGTCTGTTTGTATTTCCCATAACCAAAGGCGACATGAGCTATAGATGCTAGTCATATTTCCGCTGACCCACTGTCGCCAATGAGGGCATCACAGTTGTGTTGTGCCCACTGCACGACAAAAGATAGCTTGGTGGTATATTATCGAAACATCCCCGACCCTAACTGTGATAGGCTAACATTCGGACACCAGTGTCAGTATGCTTCAAGGAGATAGCGAACTGACGGGAAATGGAATCGTATGGTTTTCTCAAAATATCCGTCAGACAGGTTGCTTATGCAATACTCACGGAGTACGCAGTTCGTTTTTATTTCTGATTCCTCTACTTGGAAGAAATCCTGGTTAGGTTGTGGGGTGAATAGCGGCCACATAATGCTAGTGGCTGAAATCTCCGTATGAACTATGTAACCCCGAGGAAACGACAATCATTGTAGTAGAACTAATCTAAGAGCGCGGAAGCTCACTCTGACCGCTCCAGGAAAATAGTACGGTTGATTGTTCAAAGGGGTATTAAAAAGCATTGGATCTCCAAGTACTACCATATCGCTAACTTTGGTGTGCTCAAATCTTTTTAGTCTGCAAGTATCCGTAGTCAATGCTCACCATGGTTGGACTTGTTCTTCATGACTGTTGCGATCGTTGACACTGAGCTTTCCGAGATTGTGTCATGGGCTTTTGCTTTGTCATTATTCTAGTGATTGGTGGCCCAAGTGGTTAGAGCGCGAATTTACTGACCGGAAGCTCCGCAGCTCGAACCCGACCTCTGCCTCTATACTTTCCCCTGTCTAGGCTTGGGCAACCTGGCAGTATCCCAGCCCTCGTGCTTCCTTCGGGTAGCATGGCAGCTAGACACCGAAAGGGTGTTACAGCTGATATATATATATATATATATATATATATATATATGGTGGTTGTTATTATTCTCCCTTTTTTCGCCTCCAATCAAATGATGATCCATAATTCATGTGTCTCACTTACAGTGCAGTTTATGGTATGCGACTCTTCTCCAACCTCATGCGGCGTTTCAAGGAACTTGAATCGGAATTGGCTTCTCTACGTGAATTAAGTCATGAAGTAATTTGTGCGTACGGTTTTCAAGGAAATCAGGATCTGTTAGACCGAGCTGTGAGATTGCAGAGGCAGAACTTCGATCTGGAGAATAAACTGACGAAACTCACGGAAAACGAATCTCCAGGGCAAAAGAAGTTACGATCATTTGATCACCAGAAGTTAGCGTTGTCTTATCGTAATCGGTCGTTTTAAGGTACAAGAAACGACGTGTTGCGTTTCAATTCGCTTATTTGGGGTGGAATTACAGTGGTCTAGCCATTCAAAGTTCTGAGGTTACTGTGATGCAAAGGCTTATGGATGCCTTCGAGAAAGCAAGACTCATTGAGGACAGGTAAGTAATTCCTATTTCCCCATGGGCAACTCGTATAGGATTTCGTGCGATTTTACTGTTTGTGGACGAACCGACAAAGGTGTTAGTGCCCTGGGTCAGGTGAGTTCATTTGTACTAGAAGGCCACTCCTAGGTCGTCTCTTTGGTTGTACGGTCAGCTCTGGTTTCTGGACTCGGTATTATTGATGATTCTGGAGCAGCGATCAACGAGCGTCCCAGTTTGTCAATCTCTTTTGCTCATCCCCTTTTGCTCAGGCATTCCAGATGTTGAATTGGATTATGTTTTTCTGTTGAACAAGTTACTGCCACAGGATATTCGTATTTTGGCCTGGTCACCTGTTGGTGCAGATTTCAGTGCTCGGTATTCTGTGTTTTTCTATTATAACTGTTTAAGGTTCACTTGCTGTCAACGCTCTTACACCTATTTTATACCTTATTCTGGTTTGGATATTACGGTATTTCGGACGGTTCCCGTGTTTTGTCTCATTGACACAGATGATGGCCGAAGCAGCCAAGAGATTGGAAGGAACACATGATTTTCGAAACTTTTGTTCTATAAATTTAGAACACGAATTACCCGTCTTTGTACGGCGTATCGATAGTGTGTTAGTTCGTCTCGAGGATACATCAGCTTTGTGGTGAGTATTTTTGATAAGATGTATTTTCTTATCCTGACTAGGAATCCGGACGTGGAGGAAAACCAAACTACGCATGGTAATTTCGCTGACTGGGCTAGCTGCTGGAACGACGTCTTAGTTTTAAGTCATATGTAGCCGGCGTATTATCTATCCGTTTAACTTTTCTGGTCAGTGTCTTCTGGCTGATACGATATCTGATGTAAAACTCGGAGTTTTTTCCTTGTCTCGCATGCCAAGTGCGCTTCCCATTTTTAACTGGAGGAGCTATAGGCAGGAAATTTGTGGGACAAGATACTGTCTAACCGGTCTGTTCAGAATGAACCTAATAAGTGTTAAGCTTTGATGCCGTTTCTGTAGCACGGAAACTGACATGCCATTGTGCCCTAGCCACGGAGCCATCCTGAGCTCTATCCGACGTGTTATTTTACCTTCCTGTCAAACGCATCTGGATGGTGATCACGGCTTGTACAGCAGTGACATTTTTCAACATAGTGAGATTCAGTGAGTTGGAGTTTGTCAGCTGTTAACACTACAAGTCTTCCATCGTTTTTTTTTTGCTGACGGGAATACTGACATAAGTGAAGACTTATTATTCCGGTTATTTCTCCGCAAGTTCTTCCATGCTTCAAGTAGTTTGATTGGCAGAGTTGTTAGTACAACTGGATTTCCTATTAAAGAGAATGCGTTTTTCGGGAAGTACTAAACGGCAATTTTCCCAAAGTGAACAACAAGGTAGGCAACACTGTATTTGATATGCCGCCCTGGGAGGCATGGCTAACGGCCCACCATTAACCAGATCGACTGACTGCTGTTCCAGGGTGTAGGTATCTTATCAAGATGAAAGACACCAGTCATCAGAAGGTTAATGAAAACTTCTCTTCAGCCTGGTTTTGCCCTTCTTGCGGCTCATCAGTTAGGTGCGTTTCCCGGGTTTCCGTCAACGTTGTGTTCTACTTTAACCCTAAGTATATGCATTTCGCGCAATACACTCATTTTCAAACTAGTTTAGTTTAACGAGAGTGATTGTATTTGGTGGAGTGTAAGCACGGGGACTTAGGGCTGTTTGCACCAAGTCTCCGTCCCTCACGGTTGTATGGCAGTTAGGCTACGGCATTTACTAGGGGTGCATGGCCTTACTTTTACTTTCGGTAAGGCAGCCTGTGATCAGTGGTGTCATGACTCCGTGTGCTATCTCGTATCTACGTTCCTGAGTTGCCTTTGCATTCTGTTGCTTGGGTTGTCCTGTGTTATTTTGTATATTGCAGATCGACCATCATTTGATTGTTTGCGTCATCTCTTGCGTGGATCCGTCCAAATGATTACTGATCAACGTGAAGTATTTATGTAGGCCCATTTCCTTTAGTCGGTCTCGTTGAGTGACAGCCGCGGCTACGATGTATGTCGTTCGGTTCATTAACAGGAGTCTTGTGGCGGGAGAAACGTTTTTCCTAATGACTATGAAAACCACCCTTGTCAGGTTATACTAGTGGCTTTGAAGGAGGACGATCTCAAAATGGTATCTTATAAAGTCTTCTATAGCGTACTAGACGATGGGAAAAGTAAGGACACTCATTTTCAAACTAGTTTAGTTTAACGAGAGTGATTGTATTTGGTGGAGTGTAAGCACGGGGACTTAGGGCTGTTTGCACCAAGTCTCCGTCCCTCACGGTTGTATGGCAGTTAGGCTACGGCATTTACTAGGGGTGCATGGCCTTACTTTTACTTTCGGTAAGGCAGCCTGTGATCAGTGGTGTCATGACTCCGTGTGCTATCTCGTATCTACGTTCCTGAGTTGCCTTTGCATTCTGTTGCTTGGGTTTTCCTGTGTTATTTTGTATATTGCAGATCGATCATCATTTGATTGTTTGCGTCATCTCTTGCGTGGATCCGTCCAAATGATTACTGATCAACGTGAAGTATTTATGTAGGCCCATTTCCTTTAGTCGGTCTCGTTGAGTGACAGCCGCGGCTACGATGTATGTCGTTCGGTTCATTAACAGGAGTCTTGTGGCGGGAGAAACGTTTTTCCTAATGACTATGAAAACCACCCTTGTCAGGTTATACTAGTGGCTTTGAAGGAGGACGATCTCAAAATGGTATCTTATAAAGTCTTCTATAGCGTACTAGACGATGGGAAAAGTAGGGACCATTCAAATGTGACTCATGCTTTTCTGTCAGAGCTGTGAACCTCTAGGTTATCATCTTTCTAGGATCTCGTTTGACAGTATTTTCTTGTTTCCGTGCTACGTTTCCCCTGTGCCTTGTGTAGCAGTATCCCATAAAGCGAATCCCCGGATTCGTGATTTCCACGGTTGTTATCCTAGTTTTCTCTAAAGCACTTGCGGATTCGCACACTAGCAACCTTTGTTTCTGTAACGTTACAGTTACTACTGCATTGTAGTATGTTGGAAATTAGGGTCGCACATGTGTACGATCTTGTTGGTAACGGTTATGTCAATGCGAACCGCCAGCGAATCCATCCAGTTCGCTCACTATCCGGCGGTCCGGTCAGCGTAAGGATTCGTTGTTATCCCCCTCCTCATCATTGATAGCAACACCAGAGAGGGACACTGGTACTTCACTGTCCCACAACCATGTCAATATATTTTACTAAAGCACTATGATGGAAAGAAGAAAAGATGGAACAGGCTATCTTGCCAAAAACATCCGAGAGGCCAACACCTCCAGCACTCAGTCAGACAGTCAGGATAGAAACTGACAACATGAAAGCCACTGAAATCGGTTAGTCACTATATCGTCTGCGTCTGTAGCCAAGCACAAAAGGGTCACTTGAAGCCCATCCTGGAAGGTTATACTAGTGGCTTTGAAGGAGGACGATCTCAAAATGGTATCTTATAAAGTCTTCTATAGCGTACTAGACGATGGGAAAAGTAAGGACGGTAGACAGCACCAGAAACGACCAAACTTTTCGTAGCGTCCTTCATCCTCTCCTACCATGTTAAGTTTTGTCCAATTCTCGGTTTCGGCTACTCCTGCTTAGGACGGAATACTTCTCCACAGGTTCTTACTTGGCATGCGTAACACAGTCCAACCACCCTAACTTGTAGTGCTGGATGCATTCTTTGAGTAAAGTGCCCGCTTCATCAAAGGTCCTCTTCCCATGGATATGGGAAACAGTAATATCCTGACATGTGTCTCAAGAAATTATACGTTGGCTGTTAGCAAGTCCAAAGGATGTTGAGAGATGAAAGTGACAGTTACTTGGAACACAACTCCTTGGAGCTTAGATGTTACGTGTGTTACGTTTTTGAAGGAAATTACAGTTAAATGGTAGACACCACTCGTCCATACACTACCTCTCTCGTTACCTTCCTCATACTCATGATGTGGAACAGAAGCACCAACTCTACTTTCTTCAGTATGGCTGGAAGGTTGGGTATACGATATAGTTTTCTCTAAGAAGCCACTGTGTGGTGCCCAGACAGTTTTTCTTGAAAGTAGGTGTACCATAGCATCTTAGACATCAATATGTAGTTTTAGACTAGAAGTCACCAATACGAGAGTACCATTATAGGACATCTTTTCCTATGGTTTGGAAAATACTCGTGATTCCAAGCAAAGACTTCTCATTTCTCTCCCTCTCAGTGACCCTACTACAATGTGTGAAATATCGATCACGGGATCCGGTTTCCTGTATCATCAAGTTCGCTGTATTGTTGCGCTTCTCGTCACGATCGGGCGCGGATATGAATCTCCGTCGGTGGGTCTCCCAACTTCCTTTCCATTATGTCTTGCCAAATGAAGTTAATCGATGATCTGCTCGATATTGAGAAAACTCCAGCCAAACCACAATATCAGATGGCTGCAGGTAACTTTGCATTCTTCATGCTCTTTGTTAAATCCGTGTTGTTCAGATTACCCGCTCATTCTGATGACTGCGGAGTATCCTCCTGGCAGCCTTAGTTGGGAAACTAGCGAAGGTAAGTTTGCCGCTAGTAAAATTGATGACAAGCCACTGGTAGGGTCCACTAGGCGCTTTGGTGGAAATGCAGGTCTGAACACATTACGACGTTCTAAGGGCTAGCAAGCGGGAGTTTCATTAAGCCTATTTTCTTGCTACTGACATCAGGACGAGGTTATGGTTACCCGACCTAAAGCTGCCACCTTGACGTGGTGGTCGGGCTTGAGTGCTGCGGCGATCCCGCGAGTAATCGTGCTGCGAGGCGGTCTGGGGGTAAAGTCGTACTGTCCTCTGCGACAGGAGTGTGAAGGCAGTAAGGTGTTTCCCCCAGGCGACCAGCATGTCCATATTTATGGAAGCAGCGATGCTGCCTTCCCCTGAGGAAGGACGGGTTAGAAAAGGTCGGCCCCAAAAACCGCACACTCCGATCGCCCAACGGTTGTCTCCCACTGCCTCGTGGGTCAGACTTTTGAGTCAGAGGCTAGGGTCAGGGTCCCCGAACAAAACCCTATGTCATCCCACTGCCTTGTGGGTTAGACTTTTGAGTCAAAGGCTCAAGTTGGGATACCTCAACCAAACCCCTTCCTCGGCCTGGGCAACCGGGAAGTATCATTTGCCCGCGCAGTTCAGCGTCCACCGATGTCCCTCCCCAGCCCCTTCCCAGTGCACAAGCAAACGTCGCTGGGCCATTTGACTGTCAGTTATCTGACCGAAGGTCCTAATGCTCCTCACTGCCTACAAAATATAAACAAAATAACACCTTTCTAAATCCACGAGATCCTTTCTATATAGGAG